ATAGTTTTTTTTTTTACTGTGGTTAGTGGGGGTAGTTACTGTAGTTTGTGGGGGTAGGGGAAAAACGCAAAACGCTGCGTTTTGTAGGGGGTGTAGGTTATGGTACCTACACTAGGGTCTAGTGTATACTAATTATATATTCACCAATTGTAGCCCGCACCGAACGATCTAAAGTGTTTGTGATCCACGCTACCAACATTGAATGAACTGCTGCCCAATCCTCCAGTTTGTCAGCATCAATTGGCTTCGGGATTGAACCCTCAATAAAGCCGTATTTTCTCTTGGCCTTCAAGGAGGTACGAATAGCTCTCGCCCACTCATCATAATTATCTCTTCAAAGTTGATTCGGAGTTATGATATTTCCGGGCTGTCACTCGGCCCTAGGTGATAGATCATGTCTACCTTTGTTTTTCCTCCATCACCAGAACCTCCAGTCATCACTCACAATTCAATGAAGGGAAATTTTTTTTTAAAAAAAAAATTAATCGGTACTCAAAGGCAGGAAAACAATCGTCAATTATGTAAATTGATCAATCGAAAAAAAAAATTGAGATCGAAACTAGGCTCTTGATACCATGTTAAATTAGAGACAATTTATGAAATATTCACCTCGATTCTCATTCAACTCCACGGCTCAATACAAGAGTATATATACATATATCACTAAGGTAACACCCCTAATATTCCACAATATTCTATCATATCTTTACACAAGATATGTTTCCTAAAATATATCACAATAATATCCTAGGATAACTAGACTACCTCCAATATTAATAAAAACACAAGTTTCCATTCTAAGACTTCATTGACAGGAGAATTTACAATTAATAGCATTTACACGGACTGGTTTCAGTACTAACAACTAATATGTTATTACAGAACAAAATACATTAAAAAAAAAAAGGAAAAATTGCTAAAAATAATACAACATTTGGCCCATTCTTTTTTAATAATACAACCTTTGGCTTATTTTGTAATAATACAACCTTTAGGGGTGTTCATTTTAAACAAGATAAAATCAAATTTTTGGTGGACTTTGAGGTTAGGAAAGGAAAAGGATGAGTTTTTGGTGGTGGGGATGAGGAAGGATGGAATATCCCCTCCCCTTTTCCCACCTCAAAACTCACCGAAAATTCGATTTTTATCTTGTTTAAAATAACACCCGTAAAGGTTGTATTATTACAAAATAATCAAAAGGTTATATTATTAAAAAAGAATGGGACAAAGGTTGTATTATTTTTAGCAATTTTACCTAATAATAATAATAATACCATTGAGGTATTGTAGATTTGTAGCTACTTGCTTACTTTCCTTTTCTTTAACCCCTCCATTGCATGTGTTACAACTTACAGTTCAACTTTATCATTGTTTTCAAAGGCGGTGTAGTAAAAAAGAGGAAAATTGAAGTTTGCTTGAGAAGTTTTTTCTTTTTTATACTCATCACTTCCTAGAAACCACTATGTCATTAGCTAAATGATCCATCTCTAACACAAATTCATCTATTTGACAAAATTTCCTTTGACTAACCACCATAAATAGTGAGCTCCCTTGATGACCCCTTTCCTTCCTAGTTCCTAGTATGGGTGATGCTTCATTGAGTCGATGAGCTTGTATCTGCAAATATGTCATGTTTGATTATTAAGACTATTGCTATACATTGCTGCAGATATACTATTGATAGCAAGTAAAGTAGGCAGTGAAAAGGCCTGCACTAGTTAATTTACCTGTAAAGCATTTTCGCAGTGATATTTTTGTTTCATTGTTCTCAAATTCCAACTCTTCAAACCACTTTCTTTCTACTCTTACCTCAATCAATCTTTCCAAGCCTTCAGGCCCTATGGGAAGCTTGAGGCATGGACATGAGAACACCGTTAGATGTTCTAAAGTTGGAAAAACAAGAAGGAACCATGGTTGAGTAAGGCTTCTGATGTTCTTCAAATGTTGCAGCTTTAATTCCTGCAGCCAAGGAAAGATGGTATGGGTATACTCTACCCCTGTGCAGGTATCATTTAGCTGACCTGATGGCGCACCCATCTGAATCTCATGATCTCCAATGTAACCAATTACAGCTTCCATAACTTCGCAATTTGATATCTCCAAGTATTGCAGCTGATTTAGCATTTTAGCAATAGCTAAGGGGAAGAGAATCTTTACCAGTTTACAGTCCTCAACTTTCACACGTTTCAAGCTCTGAAAACTTGTAGATGGAGCTACACCTCTCCATAAAGCTGTCAAACTAGGGGCATCTCACTCAAGTCCAGTAGCCGGAGATTAGTCAATCTTTTGATTTCTTCTGGAAACCTGGCAAATGAAGACTTTCGCAGGCTAAGAATTTCGATTGATTTCAGCTCTCCAAGTGCAGATCCATCTTTCAGATTATTGTTTTCCACACAAAGAGTCTTTAAGTTTGTGAGAAAAGAGAGTGAGGTGGGTAACGCCACCAGACTTGGCATATTGCTGAGATCAAGTACTTGGAGTGCTTTCATCCCAGCAAAGAAGCCATCTGATATAGCCTTTAGTGATGTGTTATTTTGAAGCAGAAGTAGCATGAGCTCTGGATATTCATCTTGTCCACTAAACATATTAAACTCGTTGTTGATCAAAGACATCCTCATAACATAATGCAATTTGCTGGGCCACTCCTTCAATCCTGAGCCTGCCTTTACCATGAAACTGTAATCATTGCTGGAAGCAATTGATATGGCCAAATCACGAAATACATCATGCATTTTTACAGATTCTTCATTCTTACCACTCAGCAGAAGGCAAGAAGCTTTAAGGTTACTGATTATAGAATGTACCTTGTTTCTTGCCTGTTCGAGAGTTAAATCATCAGAAAACAGTCTTTCACCAATTCCATATCTCAAAAGATCTTCAATGCGAACATCATAATCTTCAGGAAAGAGGGCACAATATAGAAAGCACATTTTAGACTCTTCATCCCGAAACTCATCAAAACTTAGCTTGAGACATGAAAAGACCATTTTATGCATCCCTTTGATGTTCACGGGGCTTGATTCTCGCAGTTGAAATGCTGCATCTTCCCAAAATCGTGGTTCTTTATTCCTTAAGACCCTTCCCAGTGTCACCAAAGCTATTGGCAAACCTCCACATTTCTTAGCAACTTCATTTGCCAAACTGTTCAAGTCAGGTGATTCCACAACATCTCATGCAAACTTCTTGAAAAGATCCCATGAATCTTGCTGAGAGAGGGGTTCAACTACTACACTAACATTGCAATACATCTCACTGCACACATCAAGGTTTCTAGTAGTTATCGCAATTTTACAATTACTTCTATCCTTCCCTGAAGAAATGCCTACCCAGGACAAGTCCAATCTCTCCCACACATCATCCAAAATTAAAAAAGTCGTCTTTCTTGCTTCAGCCTTTCAGCCAGTCTCAAAGATCTCACATGCTCAGTTTCCTCTTTCAACTGCAAACCTAAGCCTTCTGCAATCTCTCTCTGGATTTTCAGCATAACAGGATTCCGAGACACAGTAGCAATAACAACCTCATCAAACATACCCGTGATCTTGGCATACTTTGCTACTTCTCTAATCAATGAGGTCTTCCCCACTCCACCCATTCCATACACCCCAATAATCTGGTTATCATCATGCTTTAATGCCTCAATGATTTTCCCCATAGCGACTTTAGTAGATTCAAAAGCATCAAAATCACCTGTAGGCATCATTTCAATGCTAGGCGGTGGTGCTGGTTGAGACACTGGAATCTGTTGTAAACTACCTTTCAGCTCATTGACAACTTTGAGCAACTTTGCTGCTCTTTTGCTTGATGAATAATGACTGCGTAAATTTGTGCAGCAGAAATTGAACTTTCCCTTATCTTCCTCTCTTAATCCACCCAAAAGCTTCTGCACATCAGTCACAATCATCTCTGTCTTTATCAGCCATTGTTCCATTTCTTTAGTTGTGAATTCTCCTCTGCGGCGAGCTGCATCTGTGGTATATCTTGCTGTCTCCTGGGTTATCTCAAGCTCAGTTGTTTTACTTCTAAGATCTTCGATGTTTCTGCGGAATTTCACAAGATAACCAACTTCATGTTTCAGGGGAATAACCAAAAGTTTTGCAACTTCAGTGATAGGGGTAATTATGATTTGTAGTATAGTACTAGCCATTTAGTTTTTTTTTTTTTTTTTTTCTCTCTCTCTCTCTCTCTCTCTCTCTCTAATGATCCAACAAGAATAAGAATAGATACCAATTCAGATTATAAATTGCAATATTTGTAAAAAGATGGAATAATATGTTTATCTTCTCCTTTATCAACATCTTGAGCAGGTAAACAATTATTAATGGAATAGACAATTTGTTCAGTAAATGGACACTAATTAAAGTAAGTCTTCGTCAACCAACTACAACAAGTCTTCTGTTTGTACAATAATTCATTATTGGACCCTTGCTGTTGTATCATTTGTGCCTTTGTGTTATCTTTATAGTCAGATCTGCAGTTAATAATTTGTGTTATGGACTTTCTCCGTTTTTTTTAGTTAAAACACATTGATTTTACACTACTTATATACTCAGTTATCTCTATTTTTGGTCATTTATACATAAACGAAAACACAGTCCTTAAAGATTTCATTAGATTCGTCTTTAACTTTACGTTATTCACAAATTTTTAGTTTTATTTTTAATTATTAATCCTACACATTCTATCTTCCATCGGAAAAATGGACCTGCAAGAAAGTAGTTGTTCCTGCGTTCTCAGCTTTAATGGTCAAGGAAGCCATGCAGGAACAGCTAAGTGTTAGGGCTGCCAATATGTTACTACAATGAAAATCTAAATCCCAAATCTAAAGCAAGCAACACAGCATATTCTAACTTGAAATGGGATCAATCTACCACTTGATCTACTTAATACATGGTAACTGGTTTAGCTGCCAACATCACCATGTAATTTCCTGCAATACTTTGATATGTTAGTAAGTGACATCTAACATAAAGATAACCTAAATACACAAATCTCATGTCCACCTAGTGATATCCCTCGTTGGCTAACCCAACCTGCAGGAATCACACAGAATTTTCTTACAGCAACTGAACTTGATTAAACTTCGTACAAACAGCTATAAAAAAATGTCACAAAATTTTAGCTCTTTGATATAACAAACCCTGCATATTTTTACTAGTGGAACAACAGTAATATGTATCATATCGAGCTGGTATAAAAGCTGCATATATACAAATATCAGCAATATTTAGCACAATATGCTGGAAAACAAAGATATCATGCCTTTACATAGCTGCAAATTGATATTTCCTTCAAACAGATGGCTTTACAACGAGGACAGGACACTTTGCATGGTGAACACAGTAGTCGCTCACACTTCCAAGGACAGTCCTGCAAGAAAGATATAAATAAGAGGGAAAGAAAACTGAAAAAAGGTAGGGGGGTCATGCATAATTCACTATCTGGTTAATCCATAATGTATTTCCCAGGACGGTTATAGCAGAAAATCAAACTAAACATTCCTCATGGAATAAAGTAACCAATCTATTGGTGTTACAGCACAAAATATGAGAAATGTTGTTTAGTCTTGCATTAAACATCTCCAATTTTAATCTGCAATGGATCGCCCAAGGACATAAGAAAGGAAGCTAGGGAGAATCACTACTATTCATAATATGAAGTACATAGCTTGGAATAGGCTTTGTATAATTGCTTTATTAAAAAAAAATGACTAACAAATGCATACTATAATTTTGGTACGGTAATCCAACTAATATAGACAACAGCTTTACTTGCATTTTTCTGAAAGCGAACAAGTGGTTCCAGGGGAGGATTCAGTAACTTCATCACTCATTTTCAGCATGCTTTAACAATTAACTATCTTAAGCTAAACATGTCAATTTGTGACTCATTGGCCTAATTATTGCATGAGATTGAACCAAATTATACTTCATTGGTCTTAAAGACTTCTTTGCTGTACCAAACTATTTTAGTTCAATTCACTCTATTACACAATTTTCAATCACTAGGCATAATAATGCATTTCTCCAATAAAACTCGTCAGACAGTTCAAAGAGAAGGGTAAAAATGAGCATACATAGTACGAACACTATTATAGCTTACAATTTTACTAGAGTAGATTATAGAACATTAGAACTTCAGACTAACCTCCTTATTCGTCCCCTACTACGGCTGCCAATAATCAGTAGCTGACAATTAAATTTCTGTACTGCATCACATATGGCTTCTTTTGGATTGCCCATCAAAGCAACTGTCTCAGCATCAATCTGTATCCAGTAAGATACTAAGTACCGAGTACCAACAAGCTAAGTTCACATTATGAGATGTATATATATATTTATTTAAGACCTAGCAATAAAAATATGGCTTCCAAATTCCGTAAAACTGTATTCAAATAATTGAACAAGGTTGCCTCTAAGAACTTTAAATCTTCCATGATGATTGTTACTACATTCTCTTTTAATAGTAATGCATTCCTTTTTGGGAAGTCGCAAAATTATTGCAACATTACGCAATTTGGATAATAATGTTGTCTAATGTCTATCACTCTCTCTTCATCACATTGGTCACTCTTATCAACCTGTTCCTCTCCTTTAAAATGTGCATCAGCCAAGTGATTGCATTTCCAAAAAGATTATGAAATGCAGTATACTATACTGTCAGAGAAATAGTGAAGATTTCAAAGTTCTTACCCCATGCTTTTCACAGAGTTCCTTTGCTTTTGTCAGGAGAGAAACAGTAAAGTCCTTCTGATCACCTTGGAGTGATGTTACCAGGTCAAGAGCTGCATAAATAGAGGTAAAAGACTCACAACATGAATGTGGTACGGATAAATGACTTGTTGAGTATTATACTGCATGCAGTCATATATATACGTCGAATAGCTACTCTCAAGTCTTACTAATTTTACTTAGACAATGAACATTCATTAAATATTACAGCACAAGTTCTGCACTGAATCTAAATTAAACATTAGGAATCTGATAATTGTAATCTATCATTTTCTAGGTAGTATGAAAAATTCAGCTCTAAGATTAGAAACAAAACTTAAAAGTTTAAACCATTGCTTGATTCCCAATCCAATAATAGGAAGAACAGAAATTGTAACCCCCAACATTTTGTATTTGCTTTAAATGTTTTCCTTGAAACTGATTAAGTTTCATTCCATGAGAAAGAGGATAAGACTGTCACAAAAGAAGCAACATCTTTTTGATCTTATGCACTACATAGCATGATAGCAAGAAAGAAATTTAGTTATATAAAGTCACTTATCCATAACTCAATATGTATCAGAAAAAACTCTCATAATTCTCCTATATGGCTGAAGATGAAATACTGTAACATGACTAACAACTTCGAGTGAACGGAGGGCATAAGTTAAAGAGTTAAACCCCATAAGCTTGATCCCCGATTAGTTAAAGAAATTAGGAATATAAACTAACATAAAACTAATACACTCATTCCACCACCAAAACTAGTTAGCAATAAAAACACCCTACCACGGGCTTAAAAGACCAAAAGAAGCAGAACACGACTACAGCAACTATCAGCAGGACAGCAGAATCAGAAGACCAGGACCAAAAGTAACTTAAAAGACAGCAGGCTACGACAACCTAGACCAGAAAGCACAAGAAACACAGCACTAGCACACAAGATTCATTAAGCAGCTACATACTAGGCAACATTTTCTATCTGATTTAGTACTTTAGCTTCAGAAGGCTTAATAATCTCACCAAACACCGTCTAGTTACTTTGCAGCAAAACACAACCATCTTGCACAAAGATCATACATAAGAATGACTTCTACCATCAATTTTGTTTTTAGCTTTAATTTATTATAGCTCAATCTTAGCCTAAAAGGTATAAACTTCAATGACACCTTGAGAAGTGGTACATATTTTAAACTCGACTTTTTGTACTCCCTCCGTCTTATTAAGATCATTCAACCATCTTTTAATGAGAGCATTTTGGATCAAATGGGGCAATTTTAAAAGAGTATCAAAATAACAATAATTGGCCAAAAGGGTGATGAGAATTGATGCCAGGATTTCGTAAAATCGGGAGGGAAGCTCTAACCACTTGAGCTACCCCTCATTCTAAGCAAAAATAATTAGTCATTGTACATTAATTCAAACATCAGTAACCCGACCCTTCCCTTTTACTGGTCTGATCAGGCCAACTTTCCCGACCAGACCCGCCAGTTCCTAATCGGTTCCGGTTCTAATTTTCGGTAACAGGAATTTTTTTTAATAATCTAGTCACTTAAACCGAAAACCCAAAAATAGTAAGTGAAGAGGAGAGAAAGAACTTACGAACAGAGCCATAACTGCCAGAAAAAACACCAGTATAATCAGCAGAAGTAGCATTAAAAATAATGACACCGGATTTCAGCTTATGATCAAGATTTTCCACTGCCCATTTAAGCGCATAACTGCTACTCTCACTCCCATCAATTGCTATCATAACCTTCCCATTTTGCTTCGAACCCCTGCTATTTCCTCCTCCATTATACTGCCACTATTTTTTTCTCTCTCTAGATTTGGACGTAATAGTCAGAATTTAGGTATGATTTTGTTGTGAGAGAAAGATGATCCAAATTGGTAATGTTTTTGTTGACATTTATAATTGCTTGTATTTGAGTAGAGTGATGTTTAAATGAGTAAGATGTTTACACCTGGTTTGTTTTCCCGGCTATCAATTATCAGTACTACTATTTCCCACTTACCTTAAATCCTACGTTGCCACGAGTGATGTCCTCCTAGTCCTTACCCTACCCACTCTTAAATTAATTATGAAATGACCCAATCAATGGATTAATACTGTTCATTACACATTTTATTTGGAATTTGGAAGTCCATGTATTTGACATATTTTTTTAAAGAAAAATTAACAAAAATAATTCGAAGTATTCACTATCTTCTCATTTTAATCCGAACTAGTGTTTAATTTAGAATAAACCAAAGTATAGGGGTAATAGCTCATATTAGTTTAAGCAAGTTAGCAACCTGTTAAATAAGTTAAATAATATATGTGGGCCCCACTCTAAATTTTTTAATTACATTTTCTCCATGGAAGTGTCTTCATCAAAGAACCTGTTTGGGAACCAGGGCCGGCTCGGAGGGGTAGGCCTCGAGTCAGACCGCCTAGGGCCCACACCAGAAAGGGGCCCAAAAATTCAAAAAAAAAAAACAATTTGCATAGATGTAGAATTTAAATTGTCTAAACTGTAGTTTTTACTCGTTAAAAAATAAGCTACTTTTAAAAAAGATAATAAATGCATTTAGTTAGCAATTAATATTAAATTACTTAGATGTCAATTAGGTGGAGATAATTATGCAATATAACCTCTTCTTCTTCTTCTTCTTCTTCTTCTTCTTCTTCTTCTTCTAATCTTCCGATTTTTATGAGTATCTGTTTCAAAATATTAATCTTTTCAATTACACCGTTTCATATTTATTCAATTATCGAAATATTATGCAAAGTTATTACTCCAATATTGTGTATGAAGACTTACTATTCAAATAATTTAAGTTATTTTCATTGTCTTATATTTAAAGCTATTGCGTGTAAAAAAATTTGTTTACGTAAGGGGCCATTTTCTTACATTATGCCTATGGCCCATAAATTTCTAGGAACGGGGTTGTTGGGAACTACCCCCTATACTTTGGTTTATTCTAAGTTAAAGATAGTTCGGAGTAAAATGAGAAGATAGTGAATAGTTCGGATTATTTTTGTTAATCTTTTCTATTTTTTAAGACTTTAATTTTTTATATGGACTTAATTATTGATATCTTTTGGGAAAGAGAGTATGAGTCTTAAGAGATCTCTAATGGTAAGTTACAATACCTTATAGCTTACCTTTTTTTTGAAAGACTACCTTATATCTTACCTTGTCGGCTTGTCACACTCACATCACATATTTAAGCTATTGCATTTTGTAGCTACGAAGTGCTCTTGTAGTCAATAGTAGGACTGGTAGCATACTGGTAGTTTGGAAGAAAAATATATAAATAAAGGAAAATTTACCAAGAATAATCCAACCTTTCGTCAGTTCTCCCAAAATAATTCAACCTTTCAATTAATCTTGAATAATCCCACCTTTACTACTTACTCTCCCTTACCAATCCTATTTTACCTGTGACCTATACAATCGGTAATTTTTTATTTTTCTTTTTTATTTTGGTTATTATTTTTAGGTTATTTTGACTTTTACCACCTCAAAAAAAAACCACTTATTTGCTTTTAACACCAACATAAAAAAAAAGTTATATTTTACCACCACATAAAAAAAAATGAAAGTTGGCTTTTACCACCAATCACCTCCAGCTAACGGATTCCATCCATAAATTCGTAGTGGGTCCTACTATGTACACATGTCACCATATCATTGAGTAAATTTTTTTTAAAAAATAAAAAATAAATAAAAACTCAACCACCTCCCAGCCACCATCGGACCGGCTATCAGCTTCACCGCCGAAATCCTGCTACAAACACCACCATCGGACTTGCTACCAACTCCACCACCAACTCACCACACAGCAACCACCGCACAGCCGACACCACTACACTACACCACACAACCACAACCATCGCACCGCACAATGCACCACCACAACCTCGGATTTCGACCCTTTCCCACCGGATTCCGATCCCCTTTCCATCAAATTCCGACCTCAAAATCCTAGCCACTAAATTCTGACCACTTATAAATCCCACTCCGAATTTCGACCACTCCTAAACCCAAAGCCACCACCAAATTTTGCAATTCTAAAACCCTAACCACCACCTAATTCCGACCACCTCCCTAGGCCACCACCTAATTCCGACCCCAACACGTTAGGAGAAAGGAGAGAAAGATGAAGAAGAAACATAAAAAAAAAAAAAAAAAAAAAAAAAAAAAAAAAAAAAAAAAACCCTTCTTTCTCCTTTCTCCCCTTCATGTTTCATCCACCTTCTTCAACATCTCAACTCACCATTACCACTTCACCTCACCATGATCCAAAATCACCACCACTAAGCTCCACCCTCACGACCTCAATCCATCGTCATTTAAACCCCTACACCCCACCACGAATTGAACTGCTACCCACCCACCCCACTACGAACCCCAAGCCATCCATGGCCACCATTCCGCCATTAACCTCGCCACCACCTTATCCTTTTCACTCTCTTGACAAACCCACCACCACGAATCCCAAACGCCACCCTCACAATCCGATTTTTTGATTGAAGGTTGGATATGGATAGATTTCAACGGTGGGTGAGGAGAGGCAATTGTCACGCGGAGCTGGTGCTAGAAAAGCTGATTACCATCGCTGGCAGCACCACGATGGTTGTGGGGTGGTGCTTTTTATATCTAGGTGGAGGAAGTAGGGTATGGCAGATGGCATGATGGTGTTAATGGCGGTCATAAAAGTGGCAGTGGTGGTTGGGCTTAATAGTGGCCATGAAAGGGGATGAGAGAGATTGGAGCATGAAGGGATGAGGAAGAAGAAGAAAAGAATTTTATTTTATTTTATTTATTTTTATTTTAAGTATGAAAATTCAAAGAATATTAATTAAAATAAAATAAAATTTTAACCAATAAGAGAGTGCCACGTGGCTTGGCAACCGGTCATAAGGGGTATGGTGACCTGCTAGGGGTGGTATGAAAGAATAAGTAGTAAAGGTGTGATTATTCAGGGTTAATTGAAAGGTGGATTATTTTGGAAGAACCGACGAAAGGTTAGTTGGATTATTCTTGTTAAATTTTCCATTAATAAATTAGGTTTTTATTATACACAAGCCATAATTAAAGTGGGTGATGAAATCTTTGAAAAATCTAGCAACGTAGCTTGATTAAGCAAGAGTAGGGTTGTTTAATTAAGCTACATCAACTTTTTCACTCCAATCATAAGCTACAAGTTTGCAATTTTAATTAATTTGCAAGCAAGTCCCTTTTGCAATTAGAAATACTCTAAGGGCAACAAGTGATGTGAACAAAATTTGAACCCAAAACTTTAGTACTTATCATCCCCCTACAATAATTTTTGCTTCAAAAAATATGTAAATGTAATTTATTTTTATTTTTTAAGGGAAATTCTCAATGGTAAACCTTAACTTATTACTTTTCTTAATGGTAAACACTTAATTTTTTAAATGTCTTTGATAAACCTCAATTTATTATGTTAAGCTAATGGTAAACACTTAATCCTCGCTCTAACCATGGTTAAGAATGTTTTAAAAAACCTGAAATGCCGAAATTACCCCCATTTATATCCCCTCCAACCACTTATGTCTAATCAAAACTGAAGTCTAGGTGTTAAGTCGTTCCATCTTCTTCCATTTCTTCAGTTCTAACATGAAAAGAGAGAGAGTGAGGAATTCTGCAACTTGAAATCATTGCGAAAAAATTAAGGCTAGAATTTTTTGGCTTTGGGTATTTTTATTGTAGAAATTCTTCTGTCTTAAAGCGTATAAACGAGGGTATTTTTAATTTCGGGGAATTGATCTCGAAATTCTGGGAGATAATTTGCGAGGAATTGACCGATTAGTTTTTGGGTGAAATTTCGTCGATCATTGTTTGTTTGTGAGCAAAGTTTGATCTTTTGAAGCTTAACACCACTAATAGTGCCAATTGAAGTCAGGTATGTTTTGAATTTTGCTTTACATTGTGTTGTGCTCTATCTTTGGGTTTAATATGCAATGTTTGAATGTTTAATTGTGAATTGTTTCATGTTGACAACCTTAATTGTTGGAGTTCATATTGTTACTGGTGTATGTCTTAGAATTGCATGATTTTGTTGTAAAAGTTGTTGGCTTTGTTTGTTTGTTGTGGTCAGGGTATAATTCTTCTTACCCAAGTAGCTAGTTATTATTTGTTGTTTATTTGTGTGGTTTTTGCAAAATGGATGAAAATATAGTGCTACAGTTTCAATATAGGGGTAAAGATGTGCCTGTCTTGTTTGATGATACAGATAAGGTAAATTTGATAGACCTTACTGTGGAGTATTGGGAAAAAGCACATGAAAGCAATGTTGAAACACCCGAAAATCTCACATTTAATTATGTGTATAAAATGAAACATGTGAGTCTTGAGAGTGATAGTGATTTGATGAAAATGTTTGTGAACTTACCTGATAAGAAAAAGATTTATATATGGATTGGGGATGGTCTTAAGGACACTGAGGTTGTTACAACAGTTAGATTACTTGTTAAGGGAAAGCATCCAATTGTTGAAGCTAACCAAGCTAGTGCTAGGAAAAAAATTACCCCTAGGAAGAAGAAAGTCCCTAACTTGATTGAAGCTGAAGTGGTGTCTAAGGCTGAATTTGATAAGCATGTTCAGGGTTAGGTATAAAACTTGTAGTTGAACCTGAGGTTCTAAGTTATTATCCAGATGAAACTTGGCCTGAAACTGAACAAAGACTAGAGGAAGAGATGAAGATAGATAGATTAAGAGGGAAAGAAAGGGGTAGAGGGAC